GAGAGATTTGAGCATTAAAATATATAGGAGAAGCTGGGCATGGTGGTACACATCTGTAATCCCAGCACTCTAGGAGGCTGAGGGAGAAGGACTAAAGTTTGTGCCCGCCTGAAATTTTAGCAACTTAGGAACTTAGCAAAACCTTGGCTTTCAAAAATAAGGGCTAGGAACGTTGCTCAGTATGGAAGCCCCTGGGTCCAAACCTCAGCACCAAAAAAAAAAAAAAGATAGGGAGAATGGGGACTGGAGCTCAGTGGAATAGTATTTGCCTACCATGTGGGAGGCTCTGGGTTCAATTCCCAGTGCACACACATACACAACAACAGCAACCCCTCCCCCAAAATCCTGTAGGAAATGCCCAACCAATGTTTGATAAATAAATGGCATTTGGGGCTGGGAATGTAGCGCAGCAGTAGCACACTTGCTAAGTATGTGTGAATCACTAGGTTGCAGTATCAAAACGAAAAACCTATTTCAAAACCTCATTCCACTTGTCAATTTCATAATCGGTTGTATTAACTGACTTTTTAAAAAGTGAGTATTTGATTCTATTTCGTTTTTGAAAGGGAGTCTTGCCATGCTGCCCAGGCTGGCCCTAGACTCCTGGGCTCAAATGATGTCCTGCCTCAGCCTCTAGAGTGTGTCACCAAGCCAAGATCAATGCACGCATTTGTATTGGTCCAGTTTTAGTATATGTGCTGCTAAAGCAAGCATAAGATACACATTTGAACCCTGAAAGTTTAGTGCAAAGTGAAGACTTTGTGAGAAAATTGGTAGATGCAAAAGGTTATAGAATCTGTTTATAAGAACCTTAAATAACAGTGACATTACAGCACTCTTCCTTATAATGTTTGCTTTCATAGTAAACCAGTTGTGAGAAAGACATAATATCAACAACACAGCGAACTTTCTTGGCTTCCTTTGTCTTGTGACTGTGGATCATTTCCCAGGTCTCATTTTACTGAACTTGCTGACAATTCTGTACAGGGATGCTGTCCCTCAAGCAGCACCTCGAGTAGAGCCTGTCTGTTGTGTCTGGTGCTGTACCCACTTTTCCTTCCACTCTTGCTCTGGAAATGCTGTTGGATCCTAAGGTGAGGCCCCATATGTGAAGCTCCGTGGGGAGTGCTGGTGGGAGTCAAGGGGCCGGTTGTTTCTGCGGTTCAGTTTTCCGAGCTCACCCTGCAGGGCAGGGAGAGTAAGTGCGCAGGCCAGAGAGACCCAGACCAAAGAGCTTTGTGGGAATCTGCCATGGCAGAAGGTTACGGTACTAGAAAAACAGTAACTTACTCAGATGGCATGTTACGTTCTGTGTACTACTCTTCTTTTTCCCCGGGAATGGGGATAGGATCCAGGGGTGCCGTACCATTGAGCTACATCCTTAGCCCTCCACTTCCACCTCTTTTAAATTTTGATAGAGTATCACTAAACCCTAACCAACTTGTCTTCCCCTGCCTGGGCCTCCAGAATTCCTGGGATTACAGATATACACCACTGCATCGGTTTATGCATTATTTGATTCTTTGAAAGTGAGGGAAAGAGGGCTTACTTTTTGTTTATATGTTTACTTAGACATGCAGTGCTTGGGATCGAACTCAGGGTTTCAGGCATGCAAGGCAAGTACTATACCACTGAGTAACACTCTCGGCCTGGGGATTGCTTCTTAAAGGATAGACTGCAGGGGCAAGAGAATGGAGTGGGTATTGAAGAGATGCCTAGAAATCTTTGGAGGAGATGAAATTTGAACCTGACCTCCAAGTAAGGGTTGGGAAAAAAGGAAGAGTAAGAAAGTCTCCCCCAGGATGGGTACATCCACTGGGTTACATTTACACTGTAAATATCATGCAGCAAGTAACTGAGAGGTATGTCTAGGTGACTTTAGCAATGGCACTGTCTTCATGATTTGTAATTTATGAAAATAATAACTGTCACTTTGGAGGTTTTACAAGAAGCCAGGAACTGCTTGTCCCACTTCTTTCGGCCTCTTTGCCTGCTGCTGGGGCAGCTCTGCAGAGCGGAGGACTCCTCGATCCATCTTAATGGGGAAAGAGGCTGGGGCACCAGGAAAGTAAATAGCGCCCCGACTTCGTGTGTCTGTGTGACTTCTCCAACTCTTAACCACCTGACTTTGATGCTTCTCTGTCTAGTGCCAAAAGAGATTTTTGAGGATGTGTGTAAAGTGAGCCGCCATTTTTGTAAAAAGGAACAAAGAAAATTCATTAATGAGCTGCAAATAGTTGTTACTTTGAGAGAATAGAGTGGATGAAGCAGTTCCTTTTTGCCCTTATAAATTTTGGGTATTATCCCCATCCTTTGTAATAAATTAATATATATACAATAATTTAATAAATTAATAAAAGTATTAATTTTATCTTAAATTACTTCAGTTGCTAAAAGTGAAGCAACAACCAAATTTACAAATTTAGACTAGTATATTCTAAAATATATGTCATTGTTTGATCTGTTTTCATATATTTTAATATCTGTTGAAGATTTTTGAACATGTGGCAGCTCTGGAAAATAATTATGGAGAAAAGAATATCCACGTTGTGATCAAACAATACAGTGAATCTTTAAATTTTTTTAAAAAAAAGCTTATTACAGTAAAAGGCACATTTCCAGTAATTCCCTTCAAAATGTCCCTCCTTACTTCCGGTACACTTCCCTATTATTGTTGCTGCTCTTTGAAGCACTTCTGGAAGTCCTTCTTTTTTCAGTGTTTTTACTTGCAATGTTATGGCTGCCTTGACGTCCTGAATCCATTCAAAACATTTATCTTTCATGGTCATTTTGACTTTGGGGAAGGGCCAGAATTTACATCATGCCAAAGCCAGTGAATGCGGTGGATGAGAACACAATGTAATTTTTTACTAGCCTGACTTTCTGTTGGTTGACATTTGGCAGCAGCATTCACTGTATTTTTAACCATAACTTTTAAAAAATGTTTTATTTTTATTGGCATATATTCTTAGTACGTAATGATTATCTTCATCATGGGGAGCTGGTACATGTACATAACATGTCTTAATTCTTCTTATGTTTAATCACACTTTATAAAGACACTCATGAAAGGAGACATCAAGAACTGCTTCAGAAAGTGGCAGGGGGGTTAGGATAAGTTTTTGAAGCAAAGGGGATTATTTTGAGGAAGATTAATAGTGTATTTTACTGTAATAAATATTCTTTTAAAAATACAGACATTTACTGTATATTTTGATCACCCCCTGTAGGTCAGGTTTTGTTTACTCTTTTTTGTTGTTGTTGTTCTTATTTGATCCATTTTTTTCCCTTTCATCATTGTTGACATTGCACAGGGAGCCTTGAGGATCTGGCTGCTGATACAGCAGTGTTTTCTTCTGTTTCTAAAGCACGTGGTTAGTTACTATGCCACTTCACTCACCTGTTATATTTCTTGTTCACTCCCCTTCCTCCATCTGTTACTGTAGCCTCAGGAGGAAGAACAAAGGCGTTTCTTCTGTTTTGTCCATTGTTAAAGCCCAAGCAGCCACACAGTTTTTAGACTACTGTAAATGTTTATTATCTTTGCTGAATGAATTATAATTTTAAAATAGACTTCTAAAAAATTGTAGTTTTCTTCTTTACATCTTTTGTTTTTCATTAATGCATATTAGTAATACAACTTAATTTGGCAAATTTGTATATGCATATACCTTACTCTCTTAGTTACTTTCTCATTGCTGGTATTAAAATACCTGACAACTACAAGTTAAAGGTGAAAAGGTTTATTTTAGCTCATAGTCTGTAGAGGTTTCAGCCTATAGTTGGCTGGTTTCAAGGAAGGGCAGCAGGGCAGAGGAGAAACTGCGGCATGGCAGGCAAGAAGCAGCTACCAGTGAGCCTTCCTTTCCCTTTTTATCTCGTTCAGGCTACAAGCCTATTAGTTGGTGCCATCCACACCTAGAGTAAGCCTCCACATTATCTACAATCAGAACATGCTAGATCAATCAACAGACTAATCTAGTTATCACATATATAATCCAGTACCACATACCCTGATCCAGCCATCTCTAAAAAGCCTCACTTATGAGCGCGTGAGACGTTGGGGGTGTATACCTAGATATAAGCCTTGTCACATACTTTGATCATTTTAAAGAGCAGTGTTAGGCTCATAGTAAAATTAAGCAGAAGGCACAGAGATTTATATACTATATGACTCTTTCCCCACCCCTGCACAGCCTCCCTCACCATCAACATCCCTCATCATCAACATCCCTCACAGAGTGGTACATTTGCTGTGAAGGCTACATGGATAGGTCATTATCCAAAGTCAGTAGTTTACATTAGGGTTCACTGGTGCTATACAACCTGTAGATTCTGACAGATGAACAAATGATAATGTGCTCAATGCACATACCATATAGAATCATATAGAATAAATTTATTTACTTAAAAATTCTCTATGCTCTAGCTATTCATCTAGTCCTCTTCCTTAGATCTCATAACCACAGATCTTTTGTTTTCATAGTTTTGCCTCACACAGAATGTCATGGGTGCTTCTTTTATTTAGGAAAAGGCATCTAATGTTTTTCCAGGTCTTTTCATGGCTTGTTAGCATATTTCTTTTTAGTGCTGAATAGTAGCCCACATCTGCATCATTTTATTTCTCCAGTGCATTATATTTTTAGATCAAAGGGTGAGATAAAACCAGTTAGTTTCTAAATTAATAACAGAGTTGCTTCAAATAGACTTTGGGAGCTGGAGAATAAAGGGTGGGGAAGTGGCCCCTGGATGGAAGCTGCATCCATTTGCCCATTCAGTAGTGTTCCTGGCTGCCTGTTTTGGGAAGCTGGGTGCTAGTAACTAACTGGCAGCTGTGGGAGACAGGAACCTGACCCTATCTTCTCCACCCTTACCCTCTGGGTGGGTGCACAGGTGTAACCACAGCCCATCAGAGGTCTCTGCAGGAGTCCAGTCAGGGCTCAGGACAGCCAGATGATCCCCCTTGGGACAGAAGCTCACTTGTGGCTGTCTCTATGCAGATTGAAGAAGGGGGCAAAGCTGACTTGGTGAGCTCCAAACTGCAAGCTGGGGACGAGGTTGTGCACATCAACGAGGTGGCGCTGAGCAGCTCGCGGAGAGAGGCTGTCTCCTTGGTGAAAGGATCCTACAAGACGCTCAGGCTGGTGGTGCGCAGGTAGGTGCCTCACCTCCATCCTGCTGTTCCTGTCATCTCAGTCTCCCTGAACTGTCTGACCTGTAGGAAAGAGTGCAGGGTTGGTAACTTAGTTCAGACACATATGTGTGTGTGTGGGTGGGTGGGGGGGTCGTGTGTCTTTTTTTCTTTCTCATTCTTTTTGCTCACTTGTTGCATGTGAGGAGAAAATGGGGTGGAGACATAGCAGACACTGTGTGCCTGTCTTTGGAAACTCTCCATTTCCTAGTAAGCTTTGGCTTGTCACAGGGTGGGCTCCTATTACCTCCCAACATCTGGGTGATGGAAAATGACACTCATCCCAGATGCCATCAGCTCTAAGATGCTGCATGTCCTGGGACTGGAGATGTGATTGGTGTAGTAGAGATTTAGATGCTATTCCGTTAGCCACAGCTATGCTACAGATTCATCAGAACAGGTGATTCCACTTTTGGGTTGTCTTATGGTTTCAGGAATAGAGACTCTTCTGTTGGAAAAGGCTTGCTTGTGATGAGTTTTAATGTCTTAATGTAACAAGCCTTGCATTCCTACAAACCATCTCTTGTTGGAAAGGGTTTTGTATGGAAAAAATGAAGGGAATTAACATTTTTTACGTTTTTAATATTACAAAGGAAGCACTGTCTAAAGACTTTCACATATGTTAGCTCATGTGATCTACACGAGAACCCCTGGCGATAGCCTTCACTAGCTCCACTGTCCCTGAAGGTTAAGTAAGTTGTTGCAGTGAGCAGAGTTGCTAAGTGGAAAAGCAGAACAATCCAGCTTGCCTGGTCCTGCTCCATTGTGTCACTGACTGTCATTGCTTTGACCTACTAAGCCCCAGGCCCACACATTTTGGCTATTTCTGCATTGATCGGGTTTTATGTGCCTTATATGGCAGCTAAGGTTATGGCATTTGAGGATGTTCTGGTTGGCTAGAACTTTATAAGTCATAGATTGCGCCCTAATTTTCAGACTATGGAAAGCAAAGGATCACCTTCATGCCACAGATGGCTGCTTGTGGCACCGTTCACTGCTGTCTTCATTACAAGCCCTGACTCAGGCAATAGTAGCCCCTCCCAGCCACAAAAGTCAAAGCTGAGGGTGTGATCTGCTGTGTCCCAGGCACTGGTGATTCTCTTAGAGTTTCAACATGTCTGGTCCTGCTTCTCCAGCTGCCAGTGGTATAGTGGCTCCATGCAAAATTGCCCAAGTCAGATCAGCCGTGGGTCTGCAGTTCAGGGCTATTGTCTCCCAGCTGTTGGCCTTGGAATAATTCCTTAACCTCACTGAAGATTCAGTTTCCTCATCTTTAAGTGAGGGTTAAAACACATTATGCCAGGATAAAGAAACAACCTAAATATGCATCAAATAAGGCATGGGTAAAGAAAATGCATATAGTATATATGTATATATAATATATAGTACTATGTATTGTAGGATTATATATAACACATAGTTTTTATGTACACGTATACCATTATCTACCATGCATATATTGTGTATACTATTATGTGCAATATTTGGCATATAATATATTGAATACATATATTATATGCTATACTATATGTATATACATTACATAATATACTCATATACCAGAATATTGTTCAGTCATGAAAAGGAAGGAGATTACATCATTTGACAACATGGATGAAATGGAAGGATATTATGTTGAGTGAAATAATCCAGGCACAGAAAGACAAAATCTTCTGATCTCACTCATATTTGAGAGTGGAACACATGGTTGCCAAGAAATAGGCATAGGAGAAATGAAGACAGGCTAAAGTCAAAGGATATAAACTTTCAGTCATAAGTTCTGGGAGTCAAATGCACAGCCTAGGTAATAGAATTAATAATACTGTATTGTATACTTGGAACCTTCTTTTTTTTGTCTTTTTCCTTTTCATTGGTACCAGGGATCTAACTCACGACTGCCTGCTTGCAAGGCAGGCGCTTATGCCGCTGAGCTAAATCCCCAGCCTCTGGAACCTTCTTTGAGAGTGCATTTTAAGTGGCTACTGTACTCATACCCGCAAGTGTAACTGTTGTGGATTAATTTGATTATGGTAACTATAACATAATGTATACATATATCAAATCATAACATTATCCATTTTGAACATACACAGTTTGAGAGGAGGAGTTGCAAGCATCAAGCCCAAGGCCTGGGATATGCTAAGCACGCCATCTACCTCTGGACTGGGACACAGTCCCACTGGCTATGGACAGTGGTTATTTGTCACTTATACCTCAGTAAGGGGTGAGGGAAAGTACAACCTCCTCACAAGATGATTGGACAGGTTAAATGGAATATTCTGCACCAGGCACCCCCTCTTGTGCCCTGCAGTCTTTGGCCACATATGACCCTGCACAGCTAATAATGTGGCCTCACAAGATGGTACACTTTTAACATTACAATGTTACTTTCAGCAAAGGATTCATTACTCAATTCCATAGTGCTCATGTACAGACTGTGCAGGTGACAACGGAATGCCTTATTGGGACCAGATAGGTACAGGACAAACTCTGCCTTCTTTGCTCACCATGTGCAGGCTGTGGATTGAAACCCTATGGACATTTCATGAACATGTTTGGCTTGGTGAGCAAATGTAAAAAAAATTACAGATGATAGTATTTCAATGCATCTATGTGTGAGTGTCCCTGTAAAGACAGGATGATTACTGTTAAGCAGATGTGATCATCAAACTTGGGCTTGTTGTATGACTGTAAAATAATAAGTTAAAATATATTTTAAAAGGAAGTTTTGTTCCCTATATACATTAATTCTATTATATATTTTATATGTGGCCCAAGACAATTCTTCATTCAGTACAAGCCAAAAGGTTGGGACACCAGTGCTCTCCATAGTAACAAAAGATCTTCTGCTATTATTTATGTTGTTGGCCAGCTGTGCTCACAGGCTTATTCCTCTAGGTCAAGATTTGAGTAAAACACGTGCTCATTTCAAAAATGGGACTGACTTTTCAAACAAATGAGTAGAAAGTTTCAGAACTCTTAGGCCCATTCCTTTTGTATGGAAAAGGGCCGAAGATTTGAATTCAGCTTGGTATTGGAATGCAGACCAATTTGAGAGTACTGGCATTTATCTATTGAAGGCAGCTGGTGGACTGCACATTCCTAATGTGTCTTTGATGGCCCATTATGGCTGGTGGATTAACTTTGGAAAGGTTTCTGTTCCCTGCCCTGAAGTGTAGTCATACTGCTTTCCAGATGTGCTGTGTAGTTGGTGAATGTATGAGATTTGAATTATTACTAGCAGGCCTTTTGGAGAGATGGTCCTAAAGTTGAAATCTGGTTCTGTTGTTGGCAAATTATGTGAACTTAGATCTCTCTCAAGCTCAATTTCCTCGTTCGTTAAAATAGAAATAATAATTCCTGTTTCAAAAGGGCATTATAAGGATTTTAATGAATAAAGCATAAATGTGTAGTAGATGTGCAGTATTTCTGATAGAGTTATTTCCAAAAGATGAAAAATATTAACAAAAGATGAGAAATATAAAATAAAAAGTGGCCTTTATTCTGAGAACACGGAGAGAGATGACCGGCACCCCCACCGCTGGCGTCCGGCAATCTCTCCGGCGGACACGTGGCGTGGGGGCCTGTAAATAGCCTCGGTTTGGGGTGGAACCTAAGGCGGGCATTAGGGATACACAGGTAGCCCATTGGTCCTAGGTTTGGCGCCATATGTAAATTCCCAGGGGCGGGAAGATGGCGTCACAGGTAACTTCCTAGGGGCAGGGCAAGATGGGGCTTCCTGCTTCCGGTTGTGGCTTTCCTGGCTACAGTGTCCTGTCTGGGCCAAACCTTTCAATTTCATCATTATCTGGACTGTTTTTAGCAAGAGTCATGTGGCAATATGCACAAGTATTGCCATATTATCCAATATGCTGGTTTCTGGTTATCCAGAAGCCCTCTTTATTTCTATGACAAACTCTACCATTCAAGAGCTGCCCTGCTTAAAGGTTATGACTATCAAAGAACTCATAGTTTAGGAATATCAGATCACATGATCAAACCTCACAGGCAAGTGAAGGATATAATCCAGAGTGGCAGTGCATTAACTCATTTTGAAAAACACAAGTGGGAAAAGTATCCCAAATGAGCCAAAACTCAGTATCCTTTATTACCACAGGAAAAGGAATTGTAAGTTCAGTTATGCTCAGGAGTTTGCATGGTGGTGACTCAGACTCAGAACTGACCCATGGGGGCCAGCGTGTGGCAGCGCCCATTCTGACTACCAGATGGACTGCCTGCCTATTAGGGGACTTCAGGGCCTTTTTCCCTGGACTCCAAGGAATCATGCCGCCTCAGTTCTCTGTCTGTCAACACCAAATCCCCTTTCTGACTGACACATTCTTTCTTTAGATATGCTAATGAAATCGATAAGGTTACTGAGCAGTCTTGCACTCTTTGCTTCTGGTGTGGGAAAGATTTTGTCTGAAGATGCCAATGAGTTTGTCTTACCTGATCTATTATATGTTTTTAATAGCTGAACTTTCTGAGTTTGAGGAAAAAGAACCTGTCTTTACTTCTCACACATGCTTAGCGACAGGGATTGTGAACATTAAGAGGCATGGCTGGCTGTCCGCTCTCCAACTCTCAAGAGATCCCAGAAGCTTTTTGGTCGGGATTAATATGAGCTTTCACTTGCCTGAGAAGTCTTTTTATACTCTGCCATACATCAATCTCCGGAGCTTTCATTTCCTTCAATTTAACTCATGACAGAATGACTTGTGATAGCTCGTGTATTGGCCTTCTTTTTTCCTAAATAAACTCCATACTTAAAAGAAAAAATCAGGGTAACTTCTTAGAAACTCAGTGGCAATAGAAGTCTGATTTCTGGAGAAATCAGATATATAGTCAAAATTTTTATGTCAGTATCCTGGCTCTACCTGCCTCTTTTAAACTTATTTTTGTTAGGTGAGGGTTATATTCCCGAAGGACTTCCACAGCCATCATTAAAAATATCAAGAATGCAG